TTTGAAAAAACATATAAAAACATGATAACTGATGAGCTACCGACTACTCGCAATGTTTGGAAAATATTGAAATAACAATTTTAAATGCCTTTTTCAAGTCATGAACGATCATTCGTTTACAAATTGAATTTCAAAAACAATATAATTTAAACGATATCAGGCAAATGAGAGGGATAAAAATTTGTTGGAACTATAATCGGTTGATTTAACCAGAATAAGTCCAACTACATGAGACTTTGCAAAACTTTCTCTTATGTTTTTTTCCTCCCCATTACATAAAACTGAACATATAGAACTTGAGAGGAAATTGGGCAATAAGGAATGCATAGCTAGACTTATTCTCGTTAAATTCATACAACTCTGATCCTGAATTTTAATTTTATTAAATTATGTGGAAAATTGTATTAATTACTGCAAACAAAATTTAGATGGTTAAAATTTTGTTTCGTATTCCGTCAAGTTTTCTTCTCAAGAGGGTAGGTGGTTCCACGGCTCAGTGGCGAGGCGTGAATGATCGATATTTCCTCATGTGTAGCTGTGGCAAAGAATCGATTAATAAAGTGTTCGTTATGCGAACAACCTGTTTATCGATCCTTATCCATAGGTTTCAATGGCAGATCAATCGATTTATCGCAAAGCCTGCCGTGCCACTGCCACAGCTCAAGTCTGTCAGCGCTTTAAAACTATTACTCAGAGGATATGGGAGAAAACAGGGCGAAATGAAGACATGAAATCCACTCTCTCCGATTCGAAAGTCTATAAAAGCCCGGAGAGGGAGCGTTGAAATTCGTCGGATCCGAGCAGGTACATAACTCTGGAGCAGTGGGCAGCGGCTGAAGTATGACCGAAAGTTTAATACATTAAGTTGAGAGATGGACTCGTCCCGCGCGCGGACTCAATAATAAAGAACAAAGCTACCGATATCGAGTGTTGTTTTTATCGTTTACGCAGTTAATAGCATCACTCTCAATCATAAACGTGATTTATTTGTTTTAATGCTTCGTAGTTATTGTTCACGCTCTTTATTTACCCAACTTTATCGAGGGCTGCACATTGGAGGGGGGGGGGAGACAAATATCGGACGAGAGAACAAAACGAAGAAAAACTTTGGAAAAACAGATTGTGATGTTGGAGAAATGCAGGCGTTACACATAGTTGTGTGTATAGAGTGTATCTTAACTAGAGTTCCCTCGAATGATATGTTACGACATCACGAGGTTTTGGAGATATTGAAAGTACACTGAAAAAAAACTCCGGCCAAGGGAGCTGCAATTACGGGCTATATAGACATACCGTCCGTTCCAGGCTCAAAGGCCGAATATTCCGGCTGCTGGAGGCGTAGCTTCAATTGCTCCGGGTTCAGAGGCCGAAGCTACGGCTCCAGCAGCCGGAATTTTCGGCTCTTGAGCCCGGAACGGACGGTAGGTCTATGTAGCCCGTAATTACGGCTCCCACGGCCGAAGTTTTTTTTTCAGTGTAGCAAAGATTACCCAGCATTTGCGGTATTCACAAAGATCAAATTATTCTTGTTACACTTCCAAAGTTTCAAATTCCTACCTCGATGAAGAAAAAAAGTTACAGAAGTTGTTGGTGACTTTTGAAAAGCCCTGTATAATCTTTGCAACTGTTCAAAATATTATCTTCGCGACGATATGTGGTCCTATTTAAAGCCTGATTTTATAAGCCGAATAAATCCTGGGGGAAAAATCCTGAAATACGGTGCCTTTAGTTTCAGGACTGTGAAAAAATTACTGGTTTGATGATCATCGATAGAGCTATAATCCCTGTCTGTACACATCAAAATCTAGGTTGTTTATTCACTTGAACTGATCATAGACAAATTTTTTAGAGAAAAAAAACCTATATTGAAACTACCTGACCACGGATCTCGATTGCATGTTTGAAAAGTTCGACTCGAATTTTATTTTCTTAAAACAGCACCGCTCTAAATTTCTTTGCAAAATTCTCAGAGAACGAGAATTCAAACGAAATTGTCCGTAAAAATTGATGATCAGATTCTCTTCGAATGAATGGACTGCATTCTGCAATTTGGAACTATAAATTTTGGCTCTTCTGGAAAAACATTTATGTGCATAGGGAAACTAATGGCACATACGTTGTTTTTAAACCGGGCTAGAATTTATAGTTCCAAATTGCAAAATGTAGTCCAAATATTAGAACGTCGCGAACTAAGATACGCGGTTTGATAATTTTACTGTCGACGAATTTGTATCAAAAGCGGGCAAAATTTTTGATGCAAATTGCTTGCGTCTTCATCCCAAAAATTATGCATATTGGACCGCAGAAGTAGCTCGAATTCATGATATCTTCAAATTTGAGTTTTCTCATTAAAGAGGACCCTGTAGAGAGTAAGCGAAGGAAAAGGCAACGGGAAAGCGTAGATCTAGGGAAAAAGCCACGAATGAAAGTAACAGCTTCAGATCCGCTCGAAAAAACTTTAAGCACGCTTGCCTCGAGTTCGTAAACATCAAAAATATTGGCACAACATTGTTTTTTGATAGATTTAAGCAGAGGTGCTGCCGAGGCAATAAACACTATTAGCTTTCCCCAACTTGGACCATAAAGTTAGCTGGTAATAAAAACACTCGGTCGTTCCGGGTCCGCACCGAGCGGGTAAATGGTGTTGATCCCGAATCCTTTACTTTATTAGTAGCTAAGCATCAGGTTGCCACTTTTTCTCTACGATAAGATCTTTTTCGATAATGACTTGCGAGGAACCTGGCTCCTTCAGAGATTCATCTTGCACTGGAAAAAAAACACAATGGATCTATAGTCCAGACTCTTAAGAACATCGACAAGGAAAAATACTCTTGATTAAATCAGATTTAAGCTTAAATCAAGAACCAAGCCTCTTAATTTGAGCGGATTTCCTTTTCATTTAAGGTTAAATCTGATTGAATCAAGAGTCCTTTTTCTTGTCAATGTTTTCAAGAGTCTGGACTCTAGATCCAATGTGTTTTTTTTTCCAAGGTGTTTGGTTTAACTCGGTTTACTACTTTATAAACTCCTTGCGTCATTCTCAATGTTTTATACGTCAATGCGTAGTGTCGGAAATGCGTGGTTGCAACGTTTAATTTTTTATACACACACAAAAAAAAGGAAAAAAAAAACAAGCAGTGAACTCCAACACAATGTGTTGATAAGGCGCGTCATTAACTCGCACATATCAACCCCTTTAGTTTTCATTTACAGAGATTTCAAAAAAGGCAAGCAGCA